AATGGCGTGAGTGGCCCGGCTCCGGGGTCCCTGCTCCCTCCGCTTGCCCTGGTGTTCCCGGAACTGGTGGCTCTCGGGACTGAGACCCCGCTGGCCGGAGGTCTCACCTCTCCACATATGAGCGGGTGCCTGGTCCTTTGCCCGTGCCTGGCTTTGGGCAGAAACGTGAGTCCACACCTCTGCTCCTCCACAGCTGTCCGAAATGTCCGTGACCCTGATGAGAGACCCCTCCATGCCAGCTCTTGGGGTCACCACTCTCACCCCCTCCTCGACCTGCCCATCGCTGGTGGAAGGACGCTACAACGCCATGGAGGTCAGGTAAGAAGGTGGCCAGGAGGTTCAGGTGACGCCCCGGTGTCCCCCAAGCAGGGCAGCTGTACCACTGAGATGCAGTCCTGGTCGATGGGTGTTCCCCAGCCATCACTCTTCCTACACCCCGGCCTATCCTCCCTCCCCAGACCCCCCCAGGTCTCCTCCAGGGCGGAGAGCCCCGACCTGGAGCCTGCGGTAGAAGGAGAGCAGAAGAAGTCCCCGGCGTGCCGGCCTGAGGAGGAGAAGGAGCCCCAGCGTTTGCTGGTGCCTGACATCCAGGAGATCCGGGTCAGGTAGGAGGGGCTGGGGCAGCCAGCGAGTGGAGCACCTTGGGGCTGGGGGGGACCATGCCCTACCATTGCCACCTCCTCGCAGTCCGTGTCCCACCCTGACCTCGGTTCCTTCTGCAGCCCCATCGTCTCCAAAAAGGGCTACTTGCACTTCCTGGAGCCCCACACGAATGGATGGGTGAAACGCTTCGTGGTGGTCCGGCGCCCATACGTCTACATCTACAACTCGGACAAGGACGCGGTTGAGAGGGCCATACTCAACCTCTCCAAGGCCCAGGTGGAGTACAGCGAGGACCAGCAGGCCATGCTCAAGGTAGGGCGCCAGGAGCCAGCCCACTCCGCGCACCTCCTCGGGCGAGGGACTCAGACCCGAAAAACCGCCCCCGAACACATTTGCGGTGTGCACGGAGCCCCGGGGCATCCTGCTGCAGGCAAGCAGCGACAAGGACATGCACGACTGGCTCTACGCCTTCAACCCCCTCCTGGCTGGGTCCATAAGGTACCGGGGGCAGCTGGGGGAAGGGGGGTGCAGGGAAGCTGTCGGTGGGGGGTCTGCAGGCAGCCAAGTGTGCTCCCTGCCCTGCTCTCAGTGCTCTCCCTGCTGCAGCCCCCTCCAGCCAGGTGTGGGGAGCACCTCCTGCGCAGAGCTGTGCCTGGACAGGCTCTCAGCCAGCAAAACTTGGACCGTATTAATCTTGATTTCAGCTCCTCCCCACTTAAATGCTTCAATCTAGGGCCAGATCCTGGCTGGTACAGAGGCGTTGTTGTGCTGAGTTCACAGCAACATCCATACCTGGCGGCAGGGACACTGGCCCTTCACTGTTCTTGAGAACATCTCATATAGTTCTTGAGAACATCTCGCATAGTTCTTGAGACCATCTTAAGTGGCAGGACTAGGGGAATAGGAGTAAATGCACAGAAATTTGTGTGCACTGGCTAAAGAGACATTAATCCCGTGTCCTTCCAGCTCTGGCTGGATTCAAGCACCAGCCTGGGGCCAGGACACCGAACCCAGGGGACCACACCTCTCCACGTCTACATCTCTGACACCTTTTGTCCCTTGTTTTCCAAATCAGATCCAAGCTGTCCAGAAGGAGAACAGCCCAGATGAGAATCTAACCTGAAAAACACCCTCCACCTCATCCGTCTGCCAACAGGATCAAGACAGCTGATTCTGTCTCAAGACTCCCCATGTTAACATCTGATCTCTCACACCATCTGCTGCCCCAGCTGTCTGCTCCATGGAAGGATCTGTCTCGATTCACACCTTCACGGGGGAAACTCACTTCCGTTCGTAGCTGCAAAAGCCTGGACCCTCCTGGGCAGGATTTCTCGTGCGTGTGCCATCTTCTGCCCGTCCCCCCATGGGTGACCTTCATGTCACACCATCTGTAACGCTTCAGAAAGGTCCCTGTCGGAGGGGAGGGAGCAAGGAGGACGGTTTCGGCTAAAAGCTAGTCTTTGATCTACAGAGGTGGGAGTGCGGTAAAGCTCAGAGGTGGGAGAGCAGGAGGAATTGCCTCCATGCGAAGGGAAAGTGGTAGTTTAGGTACGGGGATTTCCTAGGTTATTGATGTTTCTGCAAGAGACGGCAGGGTAAGATCAGGTGTCAGTAGTTTAAGATGATATTTATAAAGTATTTATTTCTATTTACGTCACAAAAATCCCGTAAGTTGGGTCCTGGCCCCCAGGCAATGCCTCCCCCAGGCAGGGGAGAGCCTTGGCAGTGGGCCGGGGTCCTGGAGATGCCTTCCCCGGGACATCCCTGGCATGTGCCCGGCGGTGGCGGAGCTCTCACCCTCACTCCCCGCCCTTCCCCAACCCTCTGCTTTGCCCCCCCTGCAGCTTAAACTACTTCTTCCCTGAGCGGTGGCTGGACAGCCCACCATGTCTTCCCAAAGGAGGCAATTCCTACCTGCCCCATCTACCTCTGGAGGGGGGAAGCCCGCTGTCTCGGATGGCTGGGGCACCCATGTCCACGCAAATGTATCACCTAGCTTCAGAGCTTGGTCCTGCTGGAGGGAAAAGGAGGGCTCTGGGGACGGCGACGGCTCTGCCTGTCACCTCATGTGGGGCTGTCCTTCCCAACCAAAAGCACGTAGGCCACCTCCGCTATCCCGGCCTGGCAGCCCCGGGGGGGCTTGTCCGAAGAGATTCCCCCCCTCTTAGGGCAGGACGCCGAGGGTCCCATCCCTGCGGGGAGTGTGGAGGTTCAGGTGGCCGCTTCCAAAGCTGGATGGGAAAGTTCCCCAGGAGCTGGGGCTAGGAGCGACCATCTCAATCCACAGGATCCTCGTCGCCCTTTCCCAAAAGGGCTGTCACATCCCTTCTCCTCCCAGCAGGACGACAGGCTCGAGGCAGGTCAGAGGGGCAGGGGAAAGGCTGGATTGTAGCTGGCATTTTGTCACTCCTCTTCCCCCACTGCAGAAGCGAGCGCCCACCTCCTTCCCACCCTGCCTCCATCGGCACATTAATCCAGGGGACTTCCCATGGTGGAGGTGGCTTTGCCGAAAAGACCTTTTCCTCCAGCCATCACCGCTTCCCACCTCCCTCTCCTCCTTCTCCTGTCTCTCACCCATGGGGGGATGCTTTCGTTTGGGGCTTCCCGAGCGGCTGGGAGCATCCGGCACAGCTCCGGGCAGGAAGGCGAGCATCTTCCTCTGCACATCTCCCAGGCACCCC